AAAAAAAAAAAAAAAAAAAAGTTAACATTTTTATTCATAAAAATTTGTCACAATAACTGATTGTTTTTCTCTCATTAAATCATTTTCGTTATCATTTTACAGACCATTTTTTCTAATGTTTGTCATTCTTAAAAATTAAAATTTTTTTTTATTATCGTAGGAATATATACGTGTCAACTAATTTATTGTGTAAAACATACATGTATTAGATGATAGCAACAAGAAGCATTTGAAGAATCGTTCTTTCCAAACATAAGTTCAACTACAGCAGTCGATTCATAGAAATTTTCTCTCAACTTAGTGTCGCAACAGAATCCTGAACATAATTTTTGCTGCGAATACAATAGGTAAATAGCTTTTAAAAGGAATAATTAACTAAACATGATTTTTCAAGCTAATCTCTTGACAAGTGATACTTGACTAACATTAGGTCTTAACTTTAGTACCGGTTTGTGTCTGTCTTCTGTTCGGGTAGCTAACTTTAAAATTGTTTTGATATCACTGTCATCACAGCAAAAGTATACGGTAGTTCAGTATACATTACAGCATTAATTTCAGCTCAGTTATGCGGTACAGCAACATTACGAGATTCTCATAAAACCCTTCGACAGCGTTTTACGATAAAAAAATTATTCTGATTACTTGTTGACCTCATGAGGTTTTTGGAAGTTATTAGTCGGTGCACTAAATATTTTACTGTTTCTTTTTTGCATTTTTTTTCTTTATTCTTCTACATTTTATCATCTTTCATAAAAAAAAATAAAGATTCGGTTGCAACTGTCAGTTTCCTTCTTCCTTTTTATTGATGTTTCAGTAATAACTATTTTTAGGTAGTTCTGGTTGAAGCCTAGTTCAAAATGCGTACAGAAACAACATCGCTGTTCAAGACTTATTACTGAACTGCTCTAAATTTTTGTTTATAAACTTTGTCACAAACAAAAATTGTAACCAACCAAGACAGAATACATAAAAAAATATTTCGACGAACAACCATAAAATAAAATGCATTAACTATAATTAAAAATTGTCTTTTTTAAATAAATTTGAAAAAACAAATTTTTCTTCTGTTTCTTTTTCTTTTGACATATTTTTCTAACGTTAACATCTTCTATGAAAGAGAATAATTGACTTGTACTTCTTATTGTTTTATTACTGCAAGTGTTTGACGTAATTACTGTTGAAGAATAAAGCATTAATTATGAAGTGGTGAAATATTGCTGGGATATCCTCTCATTGCAATTAGTAGGTAAAACAACTATTACGATTACTTTTTCGGAGCTAAAAATTGCATTATGATACAAGTTTTTCTTGAAAATTTAAGACAATTTAAACAAAAAACAAAATTTTTTTTCAGATAGCACTGGTTAAAATACTGCTTAAATTTCTGTTCACATCAGTTTCGACTGACCATCGTTTGAATATTCCATTGTTGGTTTGAACGGTTGTGATAAACTATTTATGGTAACATATAAAGTAATAGTAGTGATTTTGATTAAAAACTATTTTTTTTGTAGGTATATATTCTTTGCCACTCTGTATAGATAGATTAGAAATGTGTAGATTAGAAATATCAAACACTTACTGTATAAAAATTTTTCTTGCCGTATAAAAGGTTCTATTAATTAAGGGTACCGCTTCAGAGTAGAAATGTAAAAGTTGTTGATGCCAAGAAAACCTAGAATTTTGGCGAGAAGAGTGAAGTTGACCATTTGCGTAGTCGTAACGTTTAAAAAATCTTTTATTTTGGCGTTTTTTTTTTTGTGGTCTGCAGCAATGGCTTCTGCGACAGTAAGCCAGCAATATTTTATTGAAAAGGAAGATTCTTCTCATAGAATCTTCCAGTGTAACTGTTATTATCGTGGCGTAGAATATCATTATTGTTATAGTTTTTTTTGTAGCTGTGACCTAAAACAATTGTAGAAAGCACCGAAAATGGAATGTTAAACGGTTGACAAATAGCACGCGTTGAAAATTTTTTGCTTCAACAAAGAAGGTTCCGCAGAAGAATTAAAAGATAACTGGAGGAAGATGAAAAGGAAATACAGATGATTCAATTTTCCTACAGCATCAATTTTTGCCAATTTTTCTCGTACTGCTACAACTATACAACTGTTAAACGAAAAGGTCTGATGAGTGTCTAAGAACAAAGCGTGTTACAGATTTATTAAAGATTATAGCCTATGTTTCCCAGCCGTTTACTGGTATCCAAATGTAGTACATATAATAAGAAGACAAATTACTCAACAGCTTGGAGATGTGAAAAAAGCAAAAGCATAAGTGTAAATCTTTACAGAGGTCGTCATGAATGATACTGAATAGGCAAAAAAACATTTGCAAATTTAGAAACTAAACAAAACTTTCGGGCATTTTTTGCCCTAATTTTGATTATACGATAACAGTGATCGAAAACAATTAACTCGTGACTGGTACCACATGTTCACATGTTTTTTCCTTTGCTCAGCAGTTAAACGCCGCTCATTCCCAATCTATTGTTAGTTCAAAAGCTTCTAAAAAAGAAACTATAAAAATGTTGCTTTTCCCGTCTGGTTAAATACGTTACACAGCATATTAACCAAAAAGTAACTTCAAAACAAAATTTCTTCTTGCTCAATAACAATCAAGACATCCACCAAAAACTTGTGTTTGGAATAGCGAAGCCTTCAATAATTATAAAAATTTGAAGCCAACATTCAGGAAAGAAAAACCTTTCTGTACACTGTTACTAACCAACTTAATTTTTATTTTTTTTCAGCAAATAGACAAATGCAAAAACAAAATTGATAATAAAATGAAAAGAAAAACATCATCAAAATCGACAAAATTTCATTGCTTCCTAAAGGTGGTAACAAAAACAATAGGATATTCTTCGTACGCCTTGCCGTAATACGGAGAAGTTACACTTATGACGCAGACAGACAAAAAATTGCATTCGGAGTCAAAGTCGAGTTCGTTGGTAATCTCGTGGTGGTAGTCTTGGAGCACTTCTTAATGGACTTCTTATTGGGCTTTGTAACCGGTCACGGTAATCTTCATTGAACCGGCGGCATGGCAAAGTTAAACAATGGCCTGCTCGGGCAAAGAAGTCCAGCACCGCATCTCCCCATTCCCCCATTCTGGCTGGGCAGTTCTCAAATGCTCCAATATCATTCTGGTATTTGATAAAATAATAAATGCAAACGATAAATGTAAATGTTGCTGAATATCCAATCACAAAACCGACGACACCGATAACTAAATTTTTTGGTAAGCCATACAACATTGACATATACGCACAAAACCCATTAAGAGTAAATAAAAGTAAAAAAATGAATACAACTAAAAATGCTTTAAGATAATTTTTTGCTAACATTCGGGTCACTTCTTGTTCATTTCTTTTAAGCTGCAGTAAAGTTTTAAAAAAGAAAAAGCGGTTATATTTCAGGAAAAAGTTAGAATTACCATGTTTTTTTTTTTCTTAAAGAAACTAGAAAGATGCACCGTAATTAACGAAATCATTAAAACCAACTTTAAAGCTTTGCATAACAATATTTATCACCAAAAATTGCAAACCACTGATAACTAAGCGATTATCAAAACAATCTTATAATCTGTTTTTGAACTAATAATGCCTAATAACTAACATAATGTGCTTTCAATGCATCGCCATCTTATATCATCTTCCTCAGGATACACCGCACTTTTGAAATCTTCCTACAATAAGAAACAAAAAACGATAAAGGTTCCAATAAATAAGCGATTATTTAACAAATAATAAAAGTTTTATTTGTGATAAAATAGCGGTCAAGATTCAATTTTTAAAAATTGAAGATTTTGCACCAATAAACAGTATACCAGAAACTGCATAAGACTTGTTGTATAGCCGCTATATTGGTACCCTGGAAGAACATCCATAATACTTCTTCCTTCTGTCTGCAAGAAAGAAAAGTGCGACATTGATCTGTACGAGGTAAAAATGAAAAAACCTCGTTATTTCTGACATTCCAATTGTCAGTTGTTGTCTTATTTCGCCAAATTTTAAATAAAAATTTTACATGGTTGTTAGTTAAACTTTTATTATACTTCTTTTGCATATCTAAGGGTTTGAAGTTTCAAACTCTAAAATAAGTTCTCCTGGAGAACGAGCAAAAAATGCAGTAGAAGAGAAGGTGGAGGAGGAAATATTTTGAAAGGAACAACAGTTAAACAAGGAGTTTTTAGCTGTAAAGATTATTAGCACTATCAAGTATCAATTTCCAAGTTGCTCAGTTTATTTCTAACACTTCAAATACTCATTCAGAATTATTTACATAAAATATACAACTAGAAAATTAAATAAATTCGTCTTCACCTGGCTACTACACAGAACCGTGGTAGCATGAATACTGTTGCATGACAATTGGTGAGCAGTTTCTGCAAAAAAAAATCTAGCAAAAAAATTCTTACTACTCTTGTAAATATTACTCGACAAGATAAACTCGAATATAATCAATTAATTATGGTTTATGCCATAACTTATGTTAGGGTTCTTTTTTCTTGCTGCTGCCCAACTGCTACTAATCAGTGAATACAAAGTAAAAGTAAAAAAAATCTGAGGTTAACAGTAATATTAAAATCAAGCATTGATTATCTAACAATACTAGTACCACGACTACCACCACCACCATCAACGACATCAGCATTTGTGAAAAAATGCAGTGGTTTTTTTCCCATATCTGTTCTTTTTTTTCACTCGAAAAGTCCATCTGCCTCAATCTATATGTACTAAAAATGAAATCACTCATTATATCTTACATCTGACTTATTTTACTATCTCGTTCGAAACTGCTTTCAGCCTATAGTTAATATCAAAGAGTTAATGAATTTGTGCTTAACAACAAACCTTCTGTTAAAAATGGTTGCCATAATGTGCAAATATTTCCATCAAATTTCTCGACCATTAATTTTTGTTTTTCTGAGCTATAGTTTTGTAATTGGTTCTGCTTTAAGTCAACTGGCCCCTGTAACAACAACGAAACACTATTCCTTTGCGATTTCAGCTTTGTTGACAAAAAATCTGAAAATTTTTGAGAGAAGCTTGAAAGGATATGGCGAGCATATAAAGTAAATTTTCTTTTGCATCCACTTTTAAAGATATGTTGAAAATTTGTAGAGCAGAACAGAGATAATTACCTTTGATGAAGGGTTTCTGTTGTGAAGAAAATTCGGCAATTTCCATACCACTTTTTAAACATTCTTCTTTTGCTGCTACGTAACTGAAGAAATCACTTTCGTGTTGGTCACTTCCACTGACTGAATATTTCTGCCAAAAAAATGTTTTAACTCATTCCTTAAATAGCAGTAAAAAAAAAAAAAAAAACAAATTTTGACAAACATATTAAATTAGAACGGTTCTATCAATGCAAGCAATTTTACCTACACTAATCGCAATTAATTTTCCAGTAAATATCCATCCATCTTTAAAAAGAAAAACTTTTTAAGCTTTGAACAATAAAAAATTATAGTTCATTGTACAGCCAGCAATGACAGAATTGTACTTCATTAAGCTGCGCTTACCTAAATTATCAAAAAACTACAAACTTACGTGGACCAATTTATAACAGGTGGTTCTGTTTGATGTTCTTTTATCTAAACTTATAATGTGGACAGATTTAATGGTAAAGTTATAGATCTCTTCAGTCGATGACGGTTCACAGCGAAAATCTAAAGTGATTACAATTATCAAATGAAACGAAAAAACGATAAAATAAAAGCGCAATTTACCACTTACTTTCGTGTCTACCTTCAGTTTTAATTAGCAATAAAGTTGTTGCTCAAAAAAACCAAGTAGATACGTTCAATTAAAAGTGAACCCTTTTACTAAAGGTTTCTACAACATATTTCCCTAACAATCACCATCGCATTAAATGCTCATTACTGATTGTTGCAGCTATTCGTTAATTCAAAGACCACATTATATTAATAACACAACAGTGAAATTTCGTTAGCACATCTTACCAGAAAAAAACCCTACAATTTACTCTAAAATTTAAATAAACCCCGATACTAAGTTTTAATTTCACTTGTTTACCTAATATTTCAAAAACAAAAACCTTCATCGTCAAAAAACATTTGGTCCACACAAATTTTCATAGATTTCTCAGATTATTAGCAACGTAGCTCGTCCCACATTTCCATTAGTTTTAATAATTTGTTTGATCTTCATATGAACATAATTAATCAAGCAGCTGTCCGCAGAAGAAAAAAACATCAAGTATAAAATATTAACAATTCTAATACACCCTTCAAATTTTACCAATGTCACTTCGTTACTACTGTCTCTTAGCAGAGAAATAGCTTATAACCTAAATAATTAAAGATTTTAAATATAAAACATAAACCTTCTCCGAAAATAAATATGAAAAATGTACTCAACAACCACGCAACAATCATCGACAACATCAATAAAATTAGATTTGGACCAGGTAACGCTTTTCACTTTGCCCTTTTCTGTTTCTTTTAATAATTCTTTATCTGATATTTACATACAAACAAATAACTGCAAAAATATTTCTGTCCTGGAATGCCTGATGCCATAATTCAGCAATAGCACTACTGAAAAATACCGTTTACCTAAAGTATGCATTGAACTATTTTCATAACCGTTTACCTGTAAAGCGTTAAAAACAACAAAAAAAAAAATATGAAAGTTGGCGAACAAGTGATAAAAGCAGAAAATGTCAAAAAAATCTTTGTAGCGATCATTCCGTTTACAGGACACAGTGAGTCATCAAATGCGCTGAAATACAGACCTCAATTTTCCCGTACGGTAGTTGATTTCCTACACTTTCTTATCACTAATCACAAAGCTTGTCAAAGACCATAAGCTTTGCTTTCCAGACTAATTATCTTGAGATTTGGCTATAAGTATCCTCAAAAATCTCCGGCCTTTCCGAAACATCCTAGAGAACATAGTTTCCAACTGTATCTTTAGTTTTGATGCCAAAGATTTAGAAGTATATAAAAGAAACATCATCAAACCATTCTAACTGTTATTTATTCATGACGACAAGGATTAAAACCACTTTTAGAAGTCAAATCAGAGAAGCAGTTGTAATTTTTTAAATTTATGACAAGAAACGAGTTTTGTAACAACAACTTCATGACGAAGCGAAGATAAAGAAATCAAAGAAAAATTAGAAAATTGGTACTTGGCAGAGTTACT